TAAGGTAGATAGCTAGTGGGAAGCAGCCGCATAGCACAGGCAGATCGGCTCAGTGCTCTGTGACTGCCTGGAGGGGTGGAATAGGGAGGGTGGGAGGAGGGAGACGCAAGAGGAAGAGATATGGGAACATATGTATATGTATAACTGATTCACTTTGTTGTAAAGCAGAAACTAACACACCCCTGTAAAGCAATTATACTCCAATAAAGATGAAAAAAAAAAAAAGAATTTAATATCTCACCAAATAATGCTATATTTAAAAATATATACTTAACCACATTTCCTGTTCTAGAGAAATTTCAAAAAGGAGAGAATGTATCAGCCTGAGAAACTATTCCTAATATAGTTACTCTGAATGTGTATATTAATTAATGGCTAGTAACTAGTTAACAAGGATTTACTAAGCCCATATTGTTAGAAGTGTTTTGGGGAATATACACAGTGTATATATATATATATATATATATATATATATATATATATAACTTGCTCCCTGAGTTAATTAATATTTTAGAGAAGAATATTTAACAAATATACATTTAGTATCTAATATATACCAACAAGCACATTGCTAGACTCTTACTATACAAATTAAATCATCTGAAACATCAAAAAATCTCTAGTTAAGAAGAATCAGCACAAATTGTAGAAAATGCAGAGAAGCAGACAAACAAATACTTAGGATAATGATTAACTGAAAAACAACTTTAAAATATACACAAGATTTGGATGGTGGGGAAATGGTTATATTTGAAATACCTATGAAATTGAACTTTCTGATTTCCAGGTAAAATAGCCTTAGTACTAAAACTTCCCTAGATACAGATTTGGAATACTTTCCCCTGAACTTTCTAGCACTTTACCTAGGTTAGCTCGATGGTGGGCTACTAAGGAAAATGAATCTTTCTGGGGAATGAGCAAATTCCCACACAGCACTAAGGCAGAAGTGGTAAGATAGGGTATCTCTGTTGAGCACTGGAAATTTCTGCATATTTCTCTATCTGTGCAGTCCTAGTGACACTCTTTTCATTAAAAATAAATAAATTACCATCTTCAAAATGCCGTCATGCTTAACACAATAGTCATGGTTATTAAACTTCATTCTGACTTGTGATATAAGTGTAGATGTTTCCATTTTACCTCATCTTGCTGTGAGTTTAGCAGCTGCAGTTTCATGTGCTTCATATAGGCCATGGTAATTGGCATGTTGTAGTCAATCATGCTGGTCACCAAAGTGGGAGGTTTTCCATTATCTGTAATAAAACATTTTTAATGGGTAATGAAAGTGATACTGCATTCTACCTGTAATTTCAGAATGATCCAATTTGTTCAAATTGAAATAAGATTCTAGATACCAAGTGTTTAGGAGATTGGTAGCATTAGAGATGGATCATAGAAAAAATAAATAACTGGTAAGATTCAACAAAGGTGTTTGGGGACAAATTAGCGCTATGGATAAATCTGTTATTTCTAACTACAAGGGGAGATTTTTGATATCCTGGTTAATAATGAGTGAAACTAACAGAGTGATTAAACAAAATTATTGCTATTTTTGTATTTTTCTCCTTTGCTGCACACTTACTTTTTTTTTTTTTCTTTGGTCATGCCGTGTGGCATGAGGGATCTTAGTTCTCTGACCAGGGATCAAACCCGTGCCCGCTGCAGTGAGTCTTAACCACTGGACTGTCAGGGAAGTCCCCAGATTTGCTTTCTACATGGACTACTTGAGCGCAAGAGGAAATTTACTTTTTATTTTTTTACTGTTCCACCCATTCTCCAACACAAGGGAATAGGCTAGCCTAAATGTATCTTTGAGATTAATCTCTGAGAGAAACTCATACATTAGGAAAATAATCCAAATAATTTTTAATGAAAGCCAAAGCCAAATTATAACTTTTCTCTAAAAATTTTCAGTGAAAGAACTCCACACTATTCATTACTTTTAGAAATAAGAAATTGGTAGATTTAAAAGAACACAGATGGAACATCAATTTCCTTGCTGAAAATATCTAAAATACCATGAAATACACACAATAAATGAAAATTAAACATTATTATAGGAAAAAAGTTATTTGCTACAGTCAAAACTGCTTTTCTTCTGAGAAAGGACACTGAGTTGTTTTGTAGTGCATCTTCAACATTCACTGTCTCCTGCTTGAATACATGAGACGATCCGACTTGTTAAACTGTTTCTGTCTTCCACATTCTTATAAAAATGTGGGGTATAAACTGCCATTATGAATAAAATTACTTGAAATCTCACTATTTGACACTGCGGCTACCTTTATGATCTGTTCCATCTGGGTTTAAATGCATTCTTTTCTGGCACTCTGAGCAGCTCATTAGAAACCGTGTCACCGCTTCTCTTGGTAGGAAGGCATAGCTCTCTGAAATCTGAAATGATTCACAAAATAGAGGTGTTATTATATAAGCTGACTGGGCATGATTCAACAGAAGTGATCATTGTATTTCCAAATAAGACGCATTATTCCATAATGGCAGGAAGCACAATGAAAGCATGCACTGCATACCATGCATCATTTCAAGAAATATCTATCCAACTTGATTGCATGTCTCTTAATAATCGCTAATAATGCAATGTGGAGGAAAAAAATCAACCACATCTGGATGGAGATCTGTTTATATTTCTGTATTTCTTTTAGGAAAAATAATCCCAGTGTATGGATACTCTAGTGAATTTTCCTTATGAAAATTTGCTCACGATTATTTTGGCAATTAAACTTATTGCTAGCACCATTAAAATTTAATCCAATTTTACATATATTTTTTTTAAATTTAGCCCCAAGGTGAAACAGTAAACTTTGGATTTTGCAGTAATAAGCATTTCTTCATTATTGCTTTTCAAAGTACTTTAAGGAAAAATAAAAAATAATCTGAACAGAACTCATGTATCTATTTACTGCAGTGAATCATCCCTTCCACAGAAAATGACACACTTGGAATTCATTCTGGCCACCTATTTCAGTTGTTATTTTATGTCAGTTTTTCATAATTTATGTCCACAATAGTTCACATTGATTGTCAGAGCCAGCTTTTCCAGTGCCCTATACAGAGCTTCTCTTTTCAGAACCATGATCCAGAATTAAGTTAGAAATCAATACTCTTGTCAGTGATTCTTTAAATATTAACTTTTCAAAAACCAAGGTATTTCTCTCAAGAAAGCAAAGATTTCTAAAGTGAAACTGACAGATTGTTAAACATCTCTAAATAAAAGCTGACGGTGCTGCTAAGAAGTCTGATGCAGGGCATTAGTTTTCCACCATACTGTCACTGACACTGGTGACGAAATATGAGGTAAGCAAAAGGAATAAACGAGTTGTAAATTAGACATAATTGCCATAGACGATTCCTCAGGTGCATGCAGAGCTGTTATGAACGTTGATGTATTTTAAGTTTGTAGAAGGAAGGAAAATATGCACCTTGCATATAATTGAATGCAAATCTGCGCCAATTCCATTAATGGTGATGGGGTTAACTTTTGCTGGAGCACAGCATCGAGGAAACCTCACATATTAAAATCCAAAATTGTAAAGCATATTTTTCCCTGACTTTCATGTGAAAATCAGTTCACATCACTTAGCCTATCTCTTTGACTCTCAGGGAAAAGAAGCCGTAAGAATGTCAAAGAGAAGGAACAAGTCTACAATTAAAAATCTGCCATGGATGATTCATACATAGGTAATCCACAGTCAACTCCACTGGGATTGGAATATGAAACTGATTTTTAATATAACTATCATTTGTAAATTAAGGTGTTGTCCAGTTTTCAAAAAAAAAACAAACTTCCTTGTACTATACAAGGAATTGCGGGAGAAAAGAAGCAGAGCAATTTGAAAGTATTTCATCAAAATATTTTATATTAGCTATTGAATAAAGAAATACATAAATGCAACATAAATGTTCATTCATTCTCGCTCACTCTCTTTGTCTCTTCACACACGCGCACACACACACACAAATTTGATTCCTATTCATCTATTTTTACAGAGGGAACTAACACTTTAATCTGATTTATTTATCTGATTAGAGATCATTTTTTCTGACTGTCTGAAAACCTTTTTTACAATTATTCAGAAGTTAAGTCTCTGATTCATGCCCAGTCTGATACTTCATATTTTAACTCACATGGAATTATAATCCATGGGAACTAATAGAGCTGACCAGTAAATTCACTAACAAACAGGATTTGAGAAGAATGCTCCATTGATTTTCATAGAGGATTTCTATTAAGGCTTTTCTCTCCTTATATAAAAGAGAAACCTTCAATTGAAAAAAAAATAGCCAACTGGTGGAGCTAAAGAGATGCTGCATTTGCTTCAACAGTCCTGATGCTCTCCACAATCTGCCCTTTTCTCAGTGCTAATAAAGCACTTATGTAGAAATCCCTTCTAGAGAGCTTTATCATTGACCTGACTCAATTGTATTATTTGTCCTAGCACTACTTAGCTCCAAATCAATTTTTTCTTGGAATCATTAATCATATTATATTTCCTTTACACTTTTACTCTGAAAAACAGGTACCTGTATTGACCACAAATATGTTATGTAAGTGGATAAATATGCTACGTGTACCTGTGTGAATGAAATAATATAAAGTCCCACCTTGTATCTTAGAAAAGATTTTTTACTAAGTATTATATCACATTGTTCTCTGTGGTGTTATTCTGGGCACCATATGTTATATAAGTGGACAAAATCCCTTACTTGGGGGTACTATCTTGGTGTTCAGAACCCACTTATAGGGAGACCTGCTGAGACACCCCACTCTCATCAGACCTTTTCTACCCCACCTCATGTTCATTGGGGCCCAAGGATCTCAGAGTATTCTTAGGCACAGGGAGAAGAGACCCTCAGAAAGTCTCACACTCATTTCTGAAACAATATTTCTCCTGCCATGGAGGGGGAGAGGGAAAACGATTCCTTTTTCTTTATCTAGGCTCTTTCCTCACCAGCCTCTTTGAAATTAAGGGTCCTGGGCAACCTTCACTGCTGAAGTTCTCAGAACATTTTTAAACAATGAGGTGTCCTTTATAAGTTCTAAAATTATGGTGCATTTGAATAATTGCATTTCACAATCAAAGCCCATAATGAAATACTGTGGTCGGTCCTGTCAGAATCCTTCCATGACCCCATTCAGAGATTATACCGAAAGCCTACATGAAGACTCTCGAACTTGAGGCCTGAGCTAAATGCTCCTATGGCTCTTGCTCTAATCAAAGGGTCTGTTTCTGTGAGTGTCTGAAATGCTAAATCAACTTTAAATAGATGTTCATAAATGGTGATAAAATCAGGGACGTGTTCTTCTAGGCTGTCTATTCATCAAAGTCCTAACATTCTTTATACAACATGTAAAAGCAGGTGCAAATAAAATATAGAAGGGACAGAAACTGCAAAACATTTTGATTCAGATACTTGAAACACCGTTCTACTAACACTATAATTAATGATATAAAATGCTATAGTCATTCATAAACGTCTATTTCCTTGACCCACTTTTCAAATCTAAACACTTCTGTGTTTCTAAGACAGAAATCGGCCTTTGAATATACAGTACAGAACATTTCTAGAACACTAGTGAGGATAATATTCACTTGAAAAACGCATTCTTAGAAATATCTTTATATTTGGGAAAGATAGAGAGTATTTCCTTAGAAATGGTTTATCAACACAGAAATGCTGCATCTTGTGAGTAATACGAAACAAAACATCACATGAATGGCTATTAGTCTCGCTCCTTCTGAATTAAACACTAAAACAAACAAACAATAAACAACTGCCATGAGACAAGCCACATATATTGCCTGTAACAGAAATAAACATCCAAAGGAAGGACTAGAACATAGCCATATTGAATCTTATACACCAACGATCTCACATTATTTATCATGTAAATAATTGTGAGGCATCCCTTTCCTAGAAATGTTATTTTCTAGGAATCCAGACTTGTTTTCTTAGATTTATATAATAGTTTTCATCGGGGTTTGCATCCATTATTTTAGACAGTGGCTAAAATAGATTTTACAGTAATTTTTTGACAATGGGATCCACTGGTATAAAGAGGTTAAATGAATTGCCATTGTTACACAATAGAGGGCAAAGCAAAGAGCTGGAACTTGAACCTGGATCTCTCAAATCCTGGTCTGTTTCTATACATTGAAGGGACCATGATGGGTTCATCCAACAGACAGATTAGACAAATGCGTAGGGTCTAAGGAAAGCAGGAACATCAAAATAGATTTTTTTAAACTTTGGTATTTCAAAAAAAAAAAAACCCAAAGTATCAAAGTGTTACCAAAGTCAGGACTTGGGAACAACTTCTTTTTCTGCTATTCCTGTTATTTTTTATTATAATAAGTATTATAGCTACAAAGCTCTATATGATACACATATTAAGTTTTTTCAATTAATTTATGTTTTCTATTCTTTTCCAAATTCTTTTCCCATTTAGGTTATTTCAGAATATTGAGCAGAGTTCCCTGTGCTATACAGTAGGTCCTTGTTGGTTATCTATTTTAAATATTCCTTAAACTTGAGTTGTGGCTGGAGATTTGTTGTTGTTGCTATTTTTTAACTTTGAATTAGCTATGGTTGAGGGGTGGAAATGCTGTAGCACAACACAATTTTTTCATTGCTTATTATTTCTAAAGACCTTAATTCAACTGTGTATTAGACAACATTGATACCGTTTTCCATGAAAATATTACATTCTAAGTCTGTTAAGACTGGAATTCATCAGTAATGCAGAAATAATAAATTGCATTATCATCCTAAATTAGAAGTAGAAATCACCTCTCCAATTAAATAATATGGTAATACTTCCACATAAAAATAATTGGACTGCAGCATCTTTTGATGGACTAAGCCAAATCAGCATCTACAGCAAAGATAGTATGATATTAGTGATCTAATGATAAACCTATCCACCTGAAGAGGGTATCATGATTAAATCCCATAAGGAGCACTGCTATTGATCTTGCACTTGTAGGTTAAAATTTAAAAAATTAAAAACTAATGGGAATATATTTCTGAAAAGTTTACTGACAAATATTATAGTTGAAAGGAGGATGAGCATTTTTACCTTGCCATGTCCCTGTCTTCTGAAGGAAGAAGAAACAGTAGCTTTTTAAACACTACAGTTATAAAACCAAATTCTGGCAGTTCTCAAGTGCCACTCACCTTCCCCTCAACAGCTTGGTTAAGGTAAAACTGTAACTTATTCAAAAGAACTGATATTTTAAAAATCAATCGCAGTCAAGTTAGTTTGCAAATCTCATCTTATAAAGTTGATAATATATATAATTCCTAAAGTTTTCTTACATTTACTTTTGAATAGCACAGTTTTATCTCCAGAAATGTCTCCTTTCTTACTTGGA